CCCCAAAACCCCAAAACCCCAAAACCCCAAAACCCCAAAACCCCAAAACCCCAAAACCCCACTTGTAGATTATAAATTGAAATTATACCGAATCAAAATGAAATCAAAGGCTAAGGAATTACGAAGAAGTCGTAAGCTTTGAGACTCTCAATGAGCAAATTCTCTGTGTTTTTGGATGTGTTGTCTAATTAACACTTAAATATAGCAGGAAGGAAAAATCTTCCTACAAAGAAAAGCTACAAACCTCAGAAAAATTCCGAAAATTTCAAAATGAAAGAGGATTATTTGGATGAATACAAAACTCAAGACCCAGAGATGAAGAAAGAAGTTGTGGAAATGAGCTTTGAGAGCGAATATGGCAAATCTATCCCAATCAGCAGTGAAAGTTCTGCTAAGAAAATCTCTGAAATGCCAGAAGGAGACATCGGAGTGATTGATTATGAAAAGCTTATCAAGTCTTTATGAATTAGCCAAGCAAAGCTAAAAAGAATCTTTAATTTTCATATCAAAAGTACGCATAATAAAATAGAATTTTCTGAGTTCTTAAAGTTCTGAAAAAGCACTCAAATCTTCCCTAATTTTATTTCAATAATGTACCTCAAGAAGCTTGTTCAAGAGATTATGGATGAATCGAATGGTAAATAAGGCGAAGAGGTCCCCTAGAACGATAGAAAGATCTGTGAGCAACAGCACGTTGTTAACCTTCAAGGATTTCAACAAATCAATTAAATAAAATGGCTCTTTTTACAGTAGATTCCTCTGCAGAGGAGGTCGCTGGAGATAAGATAAAAGGATTCATAAAGCACATCAATGTTAACTGACAGTATAACTACAATGTCAATAACCTTATCTCTGAAACTCCTCAGACACCTGTAAGATGAGAGACTCCTTCCAAGTCAGAAACTTCTCTCAAGAAAAGGACGCCTCAAAGCTTCACTTCAAGCACATGAGGGCAACGTGAAGATGAACATCTGGCTAAAACAGAGGAAGCTTCCTCTAGAGATGACTTTAATGAGAAGACAAGTGATTCCAATATGATAGATGAAAATATAAACAAAGCCTTAGAAGCCCTCAAGAATCCAAGACCGAGTTGTCCTCAATCCAGTGAGAAGCAATCAAATGCTGATTCATCAAAGAAGAAAGATTTTGAAGACATTTCTATTTCCAATCTTGACCAAAGTGCTTTTAGAAAACAAGCCAGTAATGATCTATATATTGAAAATCCAACAAAAGAGAATCCATTTTGAAGATATAAATCAACATCTAGGAGCAAGAGAAACAATTCAGGGAGTCCACATAGAGTCAAAGAGAAGGAAGAACTTGAGGAGTTCCTTGCATTTGAGGAATCATGTCAGAAACCAAGTATGCTGAATTCTCAAAAGATCTCTCAAAACCCTCCTCCAGAGCCTCAATATACCAAAAATCAGATATATAGTAACAACTATACAACTCCTGGAACTGAAATTCCTAATTTTGACCACCAAGGGCTACCAGATAATAAGCAATTTGATGACGTTTTCCCTCTTAAATCTGCATCAGAGCTCGAAAACCCTATCATAGGTAAATCTGCAGCTAAATTTCTAGAAAATGCGGATAAAATCCCCGATCCAGACTGTATAGAGCAAGAATTAGCAGAGGATTATGACAAAAAGCTGCAAGAGATTCAAGAAAAATACAAGAAAGCACTCAACATCGGATCTGCCCAAGAATCCATTGGAAAGAAGGGGGATAAAACCAAGAAAGAGATATTCTCAGCAGAGGAATTTAAAAAGGTATTAGGTTGCCTCAAAAGAATTTATAATCCCTATAGATGAAAACACTTGTCTCAAAAAGAGAGAAATCAGCCAAGCCAGTCACTAAAAAGGTAAAGCGCTATTAGAGATTTATAGAGAAATGATACTCTCAAGCCGAGACTTAAGCCAAAGGAAAAATCAACTTCAAGAGTTAAACTGACTAAAACTTTTGAATCAAAAAGTTCGAAAAAGACTCCCAAATCTACTGTTTCTAAGAACAAGAAGACTAATAGAAGCAGGAGTATTCACAGGAATAAAGATCTTGTGCCAAAACCTAAAGAAAAGAAGGGGCCAAGAAAGGAGCTGTCTAAACCAAGGGACACCAAAGGATCTAAGACTGAGCACCCCGGTCTTGATAATATCAAGAATTCGATTCTAAAGATTAAAGAAAAAGCCTTCAGTACTAGTAAAGAAGACAAGCTATCCAAAGATGACAAGATTTTGAAGACACTTGATGCAGAAATGAGGGCATATGTCTCCATCTCTTCTATTGATCTATGAAATGCTAAGGAGAAGAAGGAAGAAGAATCAATAATAATGAAAGATTTTGAAAATATTCCGAAGGAAATACCGACATTCTCTCTTCACCAAGAGGATAGTAAGGAAGGTGCGGATGAGCCTGATACTTCGAATCTGACAAATAAGGAGCCTGAATCATATCATCCTTCAGAGAGCAAGTATTTACCTAAGCATGCTAGTTCCTTGGTCTCTACAACTTTTGATAAATTAAGGTATAATGAAGAAAAGACTGATTTCCAAAATGATTTCTCAAAAGACTCAAATTTTGACCTTCTTGTCCAAGAGAAGCCCTTAAAGTCTCTAAATGTAAGTAAGACTATTGAAGCTTCATCCAAGACATTATCCGCACCACTAGAAACAGATCTCGGACGTAAATAGAACAGTGAGATTCGAAGAAACAGATCACATTCGTCAAAAATAGCAGTCTTAACCCTTACAGTAAGTATCAGAGGTCTTTATGATTATAAGCCTTACAATTTTTATCTTAACTTAGGCAAAGGACAAATTATTCATGAAGAAGAAAAGTATACCAATAGTGCATCTAAAGGTAGGCTCAGTGATTTAATTTCTAGTGCTCCAACCAAGTGAGCATATCGTTAAAGCTCCACAATGGCAGATAGAGCCAAGTGATTGCTCAGAAAAAGCTATCAACATGAAGCAAGAAGTATACAACCCAAAATCTGAGGTTGGTTTACTTGAAAAGATTCAGAAACCTCACATTGATTACAATAATGAAAGCATTAGTTCAAATTTTCCTTCTATTACTAATCTGAGAGCAAATGTATCAAAACATCAAGAGAAGGTAGGCGCTGAGAGTGGTTATAAAGTTGGAGTCCAAAACTATATTGAGTCCAGAGAGACTCCTGAGAAAAGAATTGCCCTCAAATTAACCTTTAAAAACCTAGAAAGAATGGTACAGGTCAGTTTATCGATCTAATTATTTAGCTGAGGCATAGAGAACACCTTCATGAAGGATTTAAGAAGATCAAAGATATGAACAACCTGTGCAGAGAATATAGGTCACAGATGCTTTTGTCTCTCACTAAATTGTTCAGTGTGATTAAGCATAAACAAACCATACACAAGTCCCAGGCGTTGAATATCTTAGCAACAAAGGCTAAAATGGAAGCAATGGCTGACTCTCTTGCATCAGATGCGACCAACTCTCTCAAAGGTCTCCTTATGGATAGAATGAAGCATATGATGTAATGGAATATTTCAATTAGTTGTTTGAGAATCGGGGTTTTGGGGTTTTGGGGTTTTGGGG